TACACATCTCCCTCCTCCTGCCTTTTCTCCATCTTTATTATCCCAAATTCAGAAATTCCTTTACTCTGAAGAACCTCAAGAAGTTATTCCTTAGGAATGTTAAGGAGGAACTTATCAATTGTTCTGAAGTAGGAGAAATGCAGAAGTAGAGGAAATGTAGTAAGCAGATGCTATATAGGACTAAATAATAACAATGGTCCCTTGCATAACCAGGTCTTAAAATCCTAGATGAAGATACGAGAAATTCACATTTATCTGATGACATAAGCCACCTCTAAGGAATAAGTTGCCTCAAATGTCCCCAAGAACACCCACACATATATAGTTGTACTCATGGCTAAAGTTTATTGTAATAAAAGGACATCAGAGCAAGGGGAAAAAGACACAGGTAGAATCTGAAGGCTTCCTTATGTTCTTTCCTTCTGTGAAGGTTAATGCCAAGCATGCTCCTTTCTATAATAGTGAGAAATGCAACATGTGGAAAATGTTTCTGCCCTGGAAAGTTCCTGACAGACTCAGCAGCCAAGGTTTTCATAGGGGGCTGGTCTTCCCAGAAGAAGACATGTGTTCAACATTGTCTACATAGGGACCAAGGAATCTTGGTGGCACAGTGGGTTAAGTGTTGGATTGCTAACCGAAAGGTTGGAGGTTCAAACCCAACAGCTGCTATGGGGGAGAAAGATAATGCTGCCTGCTCCCATAAAAATTAAGAGTCTCAGAAACCATATGGAGCAGTAGGGAGCTCTGGTAGTGTAGTGGTTACAAATCGGGCTGCTAATCTAACAGTCAGCAGTTCAAAACTTCCAGCTGTTCTGTGGGAGAAAGATGAGTCTTTCTGCTTCCATAAAAGATTTACAACCTCAGAAACCCTGCACAGACTCACTATGAGTCGGAGCCGACTCCACGGCATATAACAACACCACCACCAACAAGATCACTCTGAGTCCGAATCAACTCAGAGGCAGTGGGTGAAATTAAAACACAGGAAGAGATTTGCCAGATAAGCCAGTGCTTATCAAGCCAATGCTAACTCATGATGGCCCTATACACAGGTAAGAACTGCCCCATACAGTTTCTAAAGCTGTCATATATTACAGAAGCAGACTGACTCATATTTCTCTTTCAGAATGGTTGGTGGGTTTGAAATGCCAACTTTATAGCCGAGCACACAATTGTGTCACCAGGACTCTTACCAGCCAAGTGCTCAAGCACTGTGCCACCAGGGCTCCTTAAAACTAAACCTATTGTTGCCAAGTCAATTCCAACTCACAGAACTAACTGTCCCATAGGGTTTCTAAGGCTATAAATCTTTATGAAGCTGCCAAGCGCTTAACCAATGCACCCTAAGTGTTCCTTTATCCAAGTAACACAGGATTTAAATTACAGTGGTTCTGTCTCCAGACCTTGTGTTCTTTCTGGTCTATATTACTTGCTCTTTAAGGGAAGTCAGGTTGTTATCAGTCTCCCAAGACCCATTCACCTTGCAGTTGAATGATAAAATCAAGTTTCAGAGCCTATAAAGTCAAGGACAAAGTTAATCTGGCAAAGGGCCTGAAAAACAGCCATTTGGCTTCACCCCATTCACAGATGCACAAATCTACTTCCACCTCCAGTAGCTCTGCAGTCTATCAGGTCTCTGCTGCTATCAGGTGTCCTCTCTCTTGTCAAAGAGCTGTGCAGAAAAATAATACCATTCCTTCAGTCTCATCACATCCTGGCAAGGAAAGAAAGCCAACGTCTTCTGCACAATTTCTACCTTCAAGGAGCCCTTGTGTGGGTTAAGCACTGAGTCTCTGCTTACTGACAGCAAGGTCAATGATTCAAACACACTAACGAATACATGGGAGAAAGATGAGACTTAGCTCCCGGAAAGATTTGCACACTCAAAAACTCTAGGGAACCCAGCTAAGGTTACTCAAGGTATAAGTAGATTTGCGTTATCTTTCAGTAACCCAGAAATTAATTGGAACTTAATCCAACAGCATTTTAGGAGACAGTGGAACAATATACACTTGTCTGGGGATATTCATCAGCTACATGCTCAAATTTATGATCCTGCTTGGTCACCATATAGCAGGTGGTGGGCCGCCAACGTCGGGCGCATGGGGTCCCCAGCTGATCTCCTCCCTCCCTGCCTTCCTCGGATGGCGGCTGTTTATGCTGGACGTGTGGCCAGAGACGGGTAAGGATCACGTGGAACCTCGGCTACTTAAGACAGAGACATTGCCATGCTGCAATGAGTCTCAATGACTGGTAAGACTGAGGAATTCGCACTGACCACCTAAGACAGGCAGTGTCCCTTAAACAATCAATAAATAAGGAGGATTCAGATGCAGACAGTGCAGACCCGGTCAGGAGGCCAAGCCCCTGTGGGCCCAAGCATTGTTGACCGTCCAAACCATAAACTCTGAGGATCAGACTCTAGCCACCTAGTAGACATAGCAAACTGTCCCTCATCTGATTATTCAGTAATGCTTGTTAGTAATCTCATACATGAGCCCTGGATATCCACAGACAAATGTAAAAACCTTCCCTAAAAGCCGAGACTGTAAATTCCAAAAAGCCAAGTCCCCCCCCCATCCAAAAAAAAAAGCTAAAGAGGATAGAGAGAAACACTGTAAACTGATGATATATGGTGGGGATAACAATCAATGTAACGAAACAAGCTATATGAATGGTTGAATGTGAAGCTGATGATGTGCCCTGTAAACTTTCACTCAATGCAAAATAAAAACATTTAATTTAAAAAAGAATAAAAGGTCTAATTTGAAACTGTATGAAAATAAATTATTCATTGTAACCCAAAAAAAAAAAAAAAAAAACTCTAGGGAACAGTTTCACTGTGTCCTAGCCTTCCGAGAGGGTAGCTATGAGTTGGAATTAACTGGAAGGCACTTCACAGCTCAGGAAGAACCTGAGTTCTTACTGGGAAGGAAACAAAGGCTCAGAATGTTGAAGTAACTTGCCCAAGACAACACAGTAAGTAACAGAGCAGAGATCAAATCTCACTCTGATTCTATAATCTGGGTTCTTTCCACCATCCCCTGGCATACCCTTGAGTGTCTCTCACCTCCCCAGATACAGGATTCCTGTGGAGGGAGTTTTCCTTTCTCGATTCTCTGCTTACTGACACAGTCCACATTCCTTCCCGGTCACAGTTCTTTCAAACACCCAATCTTGTATCAGTTTTACCACCTCCCCCTCATCTGTCCCACCTGCCTCTGAGTTTGTAGTTCAGAAAGCATTTTCAACCACACTATTTTACCAGTTCATCCCAGACAATGCCATCAGGTGAGCAAGACAGATGAAACCCACCCAAATACACTGCCATATAGTCTGATTCATAGAGACCCTCTTAACACAAAGTAGAGCTGCTCCCTAGGGTCTCCTGAGGCTCTACATCTTTATAGAGTAGGCTGCTTCACCTTTCTCCCATGGAGAGACTAGTGGGTTCAAACCATTAACCTTTTGGATAGCAGCTCATTGTTTTAATCACAGTGACACCAGGGCTCTAAAATACAATATGAAATAAATCAAACCCACTGCCTTTCTGTTTGATTCCAACTCAAGAAGAGTGACACTCTAGGACACAGTAGAAATGCTCCAAAGTGTTTTCAGTGGCTGATTCTTCAGCAGCACCTCTTTCTTTTGAGGCACCTAAGGCTGGACAGGAACCACCAACCTTCTGGCTAGCAACTGACAACATTAACTGCACCACACCCAAGCCCTCCACAATCACCACCATGGACTCTGACTCAGAGGGCCTTCTAGGACAGAGCAGCACTAGGGTTTCTAAGGCTGCCAAATCGTAATGCAAGCAGTGGAGTGGTTAGTTTGAACCGTTCACCTTACAGTTAGCAGCCCAAGTCGAACCCACTATGCCACAAGGGCGCTTTCCTATGAGACCAAAACCAACCAAGCAAACCCATTGCGATCGCAGATTCCAACTCATAGCAAACCTGTATAGGGTTTCCAAGCTTATAAATCTTTATGAGAGCATACAACTTCATTTTCTCCCAGAGTGGTGGGTGGGATCGAATCGCAGACCTTACAGTTAGTAGCCCACTGCAATATGCTACCAGGACTCACTGAACGCAGGTGTAAGCGCCCTCATCTTAGTGGGCAGGCATCTCCCCAAGATCACAGAATATAAAAAGGAGGATTCGGGAGCAGAGAACTCCCAACTATCCCCCCCCCCCACGGCAAGGTCACAAGGTGATCTTCGGCCCGAACCCCCGCCCTCCCGACAGGCTCCTCTCCACGACCCTCGCCCCTGACCTCTTCCCCTCCCGGCCTTCTCCCCTCCTGAAAGGGCCCCTCGAGCGGTCGCTTTCTTCATCTCAGGCTTCTCGTGACCCCCGTTGGGCCTCTCACCCTATCCTGCCAGGCCCTTCCTCTAGTCAGTTCGCGGCCGAGGTTACCTTCTCCAAGGATGCTGGCCTCTGCACGGCCAGAGAACGGGCCAGTGACAGGACTGTGTTGAAGTAGAAGCCCCGCGAGGCGCCAGCGACGGAACCGGAGCTGGAGCCGCAGCCGCTGGCTCCCCGGACAGTGGCAGCCGCCATCAACACACGCTGCGGCGATGCTCACCAGCCCTCAGCACCCGGTCCGTGAGCACACACCTCGCTGCGCAGCCGCAGCCGCATCCGGCTGCCTTACCACGTGATCTCTGTTGCCAACAGGGTGGGGCGCGGGATCTGGATGGTTCCACCACAGCGCGGGGGGAGAAAGCAGCTAGGGTCCCCTCAACCACAGAGCGTGATGGTTGGCTCCAAGGGTGTGAGACTCCGGAAGGAGGGAGGCGGGCCCGCGAGCGACCGACGGAAGAAGGAAGGCACGGCTGTCGCGGATCGGTTGACGGCAGCCTGGTGACTGTCTACGACCTCCCTGCTGCAGGCAGCACAACCGGAGACGTTCACGAGGGCCTCTGTGGGCCCGCGAAGGCCATCCCTTGCCTCGGCCACGCACCTTCTGCCCAGACTGAGACTCTTGCTGTCATCATGTCGGCCTACTCCAAGAGCTACAACCCATTCGACGACGACGCGGAGTATGACTGCGACAGAGACGCCCGCGACCTCCCCGAAGGGTCCGACGCGCCCTCAGACCCGCAGCTTAGCCTGAGACAGGAGGTCCTGCGCAGGGCCGAAGCCACGGCCGCCAGCACCAGCCGGTCCCTGTCCCTCATGTACGAGTCCGAAAGGGTCGGGGTCGCTTCTTCCGAGGTGAGTCTGAGACATAACAGGGCGAGACTGAAGGACTGGGGTTACCCAACAGGGTCTAGAAATGAGTTAAGATTTTGGAAATTTTCGAATTGCCTAACTTAGATTCTTGTACATGTAATCATTTAACTTTGTAAGTAGTTGTGCGTATGGTGGTGGTGGGGAGGGTACTTTGAAAGATCCCGGAGCCTTTCGCAGCCGTTAATCTGCTTACTTGATCCTTTTTTTTTTTTCTATTACCAAGTATGTAATGCCCAGGTAAATGAAAATTTGAAACAGCAGAGGCTGGTTTAGGAAAATGGAGATTTTGTTTCTTTTTATATACTTTAAATTTCCTTGGGCAGACTCCTGCCCTTCTTTCTAGAGAGACGCAGGCCGAGTGATACATGTAGCAGGCTTCAGGCATTAATTAGGACCTGGAGGCCCTGAGTTGTTCCTCTTACCCTACTTCTTTACATCATCAGTTGTTGTTGTGGTTGTGTGCCCTCAAGTCAGTTACGACTCATAGTGACCCAGTATCGGGGTTTCCAAAGCTGTAAATCTTTACTTTTTTAAACCTCACTTTTATCCCATGGAGCAGCTAGTGGATTGAACAGCCCAACTATGCTGCCAGGGCTCCTCACATTCCCAGTTGTTGTTATGTGCCGTGGAGTCAGTTCCAACTCATAGCGACCCTGTACATGGGTTCCGAGGCTGTAAATCTTTAAGGAAGCAGAAAGCCTCATCTTTCTGACGCAGAACTTTACCAGTAGGAGTGTTGAAATCCTGTCTGCCTGGAGAGCTGTTGGATAAGACAGCCCGAGTTAGTTTTAAGGTGCCATGGTGGTGCTGCAGGTGAAGCACTTGGTTGCTAACTGAAAAGTCAGTGGTTCAAACCCACCAGCCCCTCCACAGGAAAAGATGAGGCTGCCTGCTTCCATAATGATGGACAGTCTCAGAAACCATATATAGATTTGTAATGAGTCACAATCAATTCTGTAGCAGTGAATTTGGTTTGGGTTTGGAGTTAGGTAGGTTAACCTTTACTTCCCAAGCCAAAGCATACAACGTGTCCTCAAGAGACAATGTGTGAGAAGAGATGGTCTCTTTTTCCATTTCACTTTTGCCAGTTCTTCTTTCCTATTCATAGAAGGTTCCAGAAAGTGTCACCTACATGGGGACTTTTCTTCTTTCTTATACAACACATTCTCCTCGGCCTACAGTTATATTTGGGCAAAGTAAAACATTTTTAAAAGAATTTTAGTAGATTAAAGAGCCATGATAGTGAAGTGGGTTACGAGTTGAACTGCTAACCACAGGTCAGCAGTTCGAATCTACCAGCCACTCCGCAGAGAAAAGAGACTTTCTGTGCCTATGAAAATTTACAGGGTCACTATGAATCGGAACTGACTCCACAGCACGTAACTACCATCATCACCACCAAGAATAATTCACCTTAATGATTGAAATGAAAGTGTTTTCTTCCTTGACCTTTTCTTTTCTCTGACAAGATTCATTCTGACCTGGTCGCTTATGGTCTTAGACGGTGTTAACCTTTCAAAGGTGTATTATGTAACCTTGCAAATAGCCATCAGCTCTGTCATTTCTCCATTGCTCTTTCTTGGATTCTTTCTCTTCCCTACTTTGTTTTACCATTTTATTGGCTCTCCTTCCTGCCTTTATACTCATTGAGAAGGTCTAACTTACAATAATCACATCTCATACCTATTGGATTTTTAGGTTTAAATGGAAAGCCTTCACTTCAATTTGGGAGGAGACCCTGAGGCCTTAGGTGATCAAAACCCACTGCCATCAATGCCAATTCATAGCGACCCTATATTGTTGTTGTTGTTAAGTGCTGTCGAGTCGTTTCTGACCTATAGTCACCCTGTGTTTCCGAGGAGCAGCTGGTGAGCTTGAACCGCCAACCTTGCAGTTCAAATGGCTTTTCAGTCTGGCGTAGTAACACACAGCACCACACCAGGACTCCTAGCGACCCTATAGGACAGAGTAAAACTGCTCCCTAGGGTTTCTAAGTCTGTTAGTCTTTACAGAAGCAGTCTCATATTTCTCGTGAGGAACGGTGGCTGTCGTGTTCCAACTGCCAAACTTTCATTTAGCAGCCCACTGTGCCATCAAGTCTCCTAAGGCCACCTAACTAACTCATAGTGACCCTAGAGGACAGATTAGAACTGCACCATAGGATTTCCAAGGCTGTAAATCATTTTGGAAGCAAACAGCTTCCTTTTTCTCCCAAGAACTGACTGGTAGGTTTGAACCACCAACGTTTCAGTTCACCACCAGGTGCTTTAACCACTGCCCTACCAGGACTCCTTCATTGGAAGAAAAGCCTGGCAATATGCTTCTGAAAATCAGCCAATAAAAATCCTCTGGAACACAATTCTCTGCACCCATGGGGCCACCATGAGTTGGCATAGATTCAACAACAATAATTTTTATTTTTCTCCCCCCAAGACTTAATATTAGGCTCAGGACAAAGATGAGACTTTCTGCACCCACAAAGATTTACAGCCTCAGAAATCCTACCCAAGGTCACTATGAGTCGGAACCAACTTGACAGCACTTAACAATAACAACAGCATTAGACTGTGATGACCAGAATTCAGTCCAACTTGGTGGAAACAGGGAAGTGACTTGGTCAAGTCACCTCTACAGCTCCCTTTCTCCTATGGAGCCTAACAGGGTTGTGACCTCAAAAGGACAGAGGAGAACCAGCTAGGGCAGGGCCAGTCCCACCAGCCAGTTTTGTGAGCACAAGTGCAAAACTATGGGGAGACTTGGTGGTCACTTTGCTCAACCTCTCTTTTTCCAAGCATGGTGTCCTTTCCCTTTTTTTTTTTTTTTTTTTTAACTTGAATTCCAATCACATGGGTCAAAACCCAAAGCATACAAAAGGGTAAGACATGTCCTTCCCCGCCATCCACTGTGCACAAGGCAACCAGTTATCATTAGTTTCTTCTGTGTCCTTGTGGAAACTTGGCATAAAGACGTAACCATAATCTTTTTCTTTTTTTTTTCTTATAAGTGGAGCATTTCGTACTTGTTCATCAGCATGTTTCCTAATAGGATGGGAGGTCGTTCAAAAACAGTGTATAATGGGCTGTTTGGGGTTTTTTCCCCTGGTGGCTATGCAGTGGGTTGGAGTCCTTGTATGGCAATGTAGCATAAGGGACTGGACTGCAAGGTTGGCTTGAACTGCAAAGTTAGCAGTTCAAATTCACCAGTTGCTCCTCAGAAACCCCCCTACACAGGATCCCTGTGAGTTAGAACCAACTCAGCGGCACTTAATAAAAACAACATGCAATGGGTTAGATGTTGGGCTGCTAGCCAGAAGGTCGGTAGTTTGAACTCACCAGCTTGCTCCTTGGGAGAAAGATAAGGCAGCCTGCTTCCATAAAGACTGACAGCCTCAGAAACCCTAGGAGTGGTTCTACTTTGCCCTATAGGGTCACTGAGTTGAAATTGACTTTACAACAGTGAGATATAGCATATTTTAGGCTCCCAAGGTGGCACAAATGGTTTTTACTACCATAAAGATTGGCTATTCTAATGCACTGAACGGTGCCAAAAAAGAAAGACCTGACATTGTGCTTCCATAATGATTCAGCCAGAGGTAAGAATCAACTCAATGTTACAGGTTTGGTTTGGTGTACTAACTGAAAGTTCAAACCTACCCAGCAACACCAAGGAAAAAAGTCCTGGAGATCTACTTCCATAAGGTTACAGCCATTGAAAACCCCACAGAGTACATTGTATTCTGACCCACCATGGGGTTGCCATGACTCTGAAATGACTCTGTTGGCAACATGTATGTCATGTTCCATTGAATATTCATTGTGTTTATGAAACCAGTCTCCTAATCATGGACATGATGAGTGTTTGCACCCTTTTTGGTGAACCTGTTTGTGTCAAACTTGGATTTGGTGTTTATTCATCTTTTAACAATCCTGGCAAAAGTGTATGACATTCTAGAGAGTCTTCTTCCCTTCTGATAGCTGAGAGTGCTCCAGTAATGCTTCCAGGGCCAGTGGTCTCAATTCAGGGCAGTACAGTTGTGGCACTATGGGATGAAGCTCTGGACTGCAAGGTTGGTTTGAACCACAAGGTCAGCAGTTCAGACTCACCAGATGCTCCTTGGAAACCCTATACAGGGGTCACTGTGAGTCAAAACTGACTCAACAGCACTTAACAACAGTAACAACAATCATTGACAGTCACATTGGTTCAAACCCCAGCTGGCATTTCTTGCACATGATCTGATACAGTCCCCCTCACTGTCTTGCTCCTGTCACTTAACCACTGTCGATGCCATGCTGAGCATTTTGTTCAAAGAGGACACCCTGCCCTCCAGGAAAAGGCCTCCTAGAAGAGGAAGGGCAGGCTGGTTTAAAGTTTAGGAAGATGTGTGAACTCTTGAGCTCCTGGGCAGTGACCTAGGGCTAGAGCTAGGCTGGAACCTAGGACCAGCTGGTCTGAAGTACAGAGAGGCATGTCTGAACTCCCAAACTTGTAGCTAGTACCCACCTGACCTAACTTGGATGGCTAGTTGACGAGAATTCGAACCTAGGAAAATACAGATGTTTGATACTGAGAACAAGTGCAAATTGCTACAGTTTGACAAACTAGACTTTTGCCTATGAAAGCAGTGACTCAAAATCCAACCCGAATGGAAGGATTCTTCATATTAAGAGACAACCTTGTACCTTCAGTATACTGGGTTGATAGGGATGAGAATTTTAGATACTGGCTATAAAAAATGGGGAGACTACAAAGGCATGAAGTGACTGGCTTTATAAGCTTTCATGAGTATGCTTAGTAGCAGAGTGAGGAGAGAAAGAAACTAGCCCAAGAGCAGAGGCACTGTCCAGGGCTGTACCCAGGGTGCCCATGCAGGGGTGATCCCACGCCTTTATGCTCTGGGAAGCTGGTCCTTGAACCAAACCAAACCATCCCCCATTTCAAGGGGTCACACCCACCAGAACTGTCCCTCCAAGGTCACCTCT